TTGCTGTCGAGTTTAAGGCTGCCACATATTAAGTATAAAAAGAGGCCGCTGCTGCTTGTCTAGAGGTCCTTTAGATGTGGATGAAAGAGCCTCCTGAGGGTTTTCAAAGGGAAGGATCTGCATTGAGCTGATGAGAAGCTCTCAGTTCCCATCTTTACCTTTATTACTATAACTACGGATAGCACTCAGCCACTAAGCCGATATAACAGTGAAACAGTGCACAGAGCCTTTGTGCCAAATCACTCCGATTCTACTGTTCCTACAATAGCCTCAACAGTTAGATTTTCCTTCTGCTCTTCATTAAGTACATATCAAATATTCATGGCTATGGAAACGTGTAACAATGACTTTAAGGGAGCCTGTTGAGTGTCTAATTTATTCAGACCATACAAGACATTCAGATGACTTAATCCCTGTGCTATTCCAGAAACCCAACTCGCTGTATTTCAGCTCTCAAAGGCCAAAGTTCCATTGGTAATGGTCACAGGGAGAGCCAAGATAAATGCCTGCTGCTTGTTTTCTTTGTGTGTGCAAAACTGTGTGTGTGTGTGTGCGTTTTTACTGTGCTTCAGTAAAAATAAGTTAAGTAAACATGAAAATGGCTCAGATTGAACTTCAAGTACCAAAACCTCTGAGATGTTTCATGTGTTTTTTATGAAAACTTGCTGCATCATCACAGAAGCAATCCAAGCTATTCAGCATAATGTTTAGTTTTCAGGGCAACAGCCCACGCAGAAAGCCAAGAAAAACTCAAAACCACTTAAAAAGAATCACAGGATGTCATTACTATGGTAAACCATCATGACAGCTTATAATGTAAATCATCTGAAAAAGTGGGAAGACAAAGACGAACCAGGAGATAGATAATAGCTCGCATCAAACAGTGCAGTTCTTTGTAATCTGAGATCAAAACTAATTAGGATTGACTTACTTTGATTCTGCAAAATGTGGGCTTCTTTCTTCTTTGAATGTGCAAGTATGTATGTGGTTGGGAGGACGCTGAACTACTTTGGTAACTAATCGTTTCAAACAGCTGAAACACTTTTGGCATTGTAGCTGATCTCGACAGAACGCCTTTTTGAAAGCTTAACTAAAACTATTCACCTTGAAATAACACAAACTATCAGTGCTTTCAGTTCTAATGACAGCTCAGAATCTTTTCTAAACCAAAACAACAGAGCAATATGTTACTACCTGTGGAACAATGTTTTTAGCCACCAATCAACAGTAGCAATAGACAGGGTTATTACGGTTAAGTAAAAGTTAACCGGACAAAAAAAAAAACTATACACAGAAAATAACAAAAAACTTGCAAGAACAATATTATGCACTTAAAATAAAAATATACTACATTGACAAAGTTACTGTTTTATCTACACATTAACCCTTTAAAGCCGGTCAGAGCCAGCATGCTCTGTTTTGCATAGCTGTTTTTAAATCCTGGTAGAACTGCAACCAGGTAAGCTAGC